GTTTAGACACACAAGTGTGCTATCTAAGGGAAGGTGTATGATTTGATAAAGTCTTATCAAAACAATCTAGTATCAGAAATCTGAACTTTGGTAAGAAAGTCAATAAAGTATTGATTTCTAGAAGTCAGCTGATTTCTGAGTACATGTCAAAGCTAGTGGGAGCATAAGTGTTATGCTAATAATCATCATGTTAGTGGGAGCATGATAATTATGATAAGTATTGCAAGTTAGCAATGTTAATTATAGAAAACAAAAGGTTTCAATTGGGAAAAAGTTGTTTTGCTATAATTAAGGGAGAGGAAATTATACTTCATCTCAAATCTATAAGCTTAGATCGTGAGGTTTTAATCATTTAGTCAAGGATATATATGAATTTCATGTTGGAATGGCTCAACATAAGGAAATTCTGTATATGGGTCCATTATTTGCGTTCTAAATTCGATTATGATTACGGCATCCCTTTTCATAATCTGAAACTTGGCAAATAGAAATGGAAATGTTATAGCAAAAGACTGGTTTAGTCTTTATGTGAGACATCATGAATCGTGTCCCATATGCTTCGGATATAGGATCGATTACATGTGCTATATTCATCCTTTCTAAAATTTTCCAAATGCCTGGGGCATTAAGAAGGGAAAAGGTTTAGAACTGGATATGACTAAAAGGATTAAACAATTGTCGAGGACAATCTAAGGTTTACCAAAGATTGGTTGCTCAAGGACAGTTGGAAGTATAGTGATAATTCTGGAAGGACCATATTGACATAATCTGTAAGGAGGCAACTCTTGTTCAGAAGTGATAGTCAAATGGAATCTGGAAATGTTTCAAAGTTAGAATTTTCAATCTGTGTAAGATTAAGGAAACTTAATGCAAGAAGGATGGTTCCAAGGAGTTGATCTCCTTTGGAATGCTCTGTAATGATTGTTGCCAAGTCTTTGTGAATTTGTGCATAATCGTTACAAGAGGATCAATGCATATAAGTTTAGAATCTAACAGATTTCAGTAAATGGCATGAATTTGGAATTCTTGCATTTGCAGTAAGGATTTGGGAGTGTGAAAAGAGAATCATTGAAGTTATGTTCAATTGATCTAGTTCACAAAGTAAAGATCATAGACAAACATAGTATGCATACTTGGTGTATGGCATGACTAGTGTTTAGAAAACATAGTGTACATGCTTGGAGCATGGGACAACTATTGTTTTAAATTCAAGAATAATGTTGATAGCTGAAACAGTATACAATGAATAATGTGTAATCATATGGTGATAAATAAAAGGTGTTTTATTTATATTCATAAGTTCTGAGACCATATTGGATTCAATTATTATTGTGTTTCACTTTGCATGTTTTGACTTCCCGAATAAACTAGGTTATTCTTCCGGAATGACTAAGTTATTCAAACCATCCACAGTCGGTCATATGTTGGAAGTAGATATGAATTAAGACTGTCATGGGTTGGCTTGTAGAGGTCTAAGGTTTGGACAAATGGCTACAACACTCATGAGTGCTCATAAGTTCTGAGTATTGGATTCAACCCGCGCTCATTGGAATCACTTCATGGATTTTATCACGAGTGATCATGAGACGATAATATCTTATATTCTTCAAACCTAGAGATATGAGTTGTTACTATGAGTTGATTGTACATTGATTGCACGAAACGCATTTGGTAACTCGATGCTATAAAACGTGTCTTTGTGTATGATTCAACAAGTAGTAGAACAAGCCATATGAGTCGAAGTTTATCCATTCCTTTTACCTTCGGGATAAAAGCGATATCTGTGGGCCCCTCGATGATTTGATGATGACAAATGGAAGTGCTCGGCCGGGCCAGGACTGATTTGATTTGTTCAATTAGTCAGTCGTCATAAATCGGAAATCGGGAAACAACAAATGGACAGAGAGAATGATTATAATCCATGTCTCAGTCCATATGATATCTAGAATGGAGGAATATATGATCCCTTATCTAATGGACAAGTCATTGACAAGATCAGAGTTCATCTACAAGGTCAGAGTTCGACAGAAGCTTTTGAGAGCTACGATTGCCAGTTGGTTCCTGAAGTCATACGCAATAATAGTTTTAGACTTATCCAAGTGGGAGACTGTTGGATTAATGTCTAAGTCCATAACTATAATTGGTAAGACTTGACCCGACCCGGCATGGTCCATTTGGGTTGCATACCATCATGCACTTGGATAGACTAAATGAGAGAAATAAGACACTTATGGTTATTAATATATTATAAGTTCTAGTATATTAATAATAAGAATAATGAGATTATTTAATTAGTATTGATCAAGAATTAATCTAGCATTAATTGAGTGATCAAAAGAAGACTAATTAAATATATGGGTTGATTGTGTAAATCATCCATACTTGTATAGTGGGCTAATGCTCCATGGATTATCTAGTTGGGCCAAAACCCATATGATGCTCCATGGATGCTCCATGGTGTATTTGAACCCATGGATCCAAGGAAATGGAAAGTCATGACAATTAGGGTTTACCCTAATTGTATAACTATATAAGCATCTTATTCTTGAGGAAAAATCGGCCACTAGTGAGAGTAAGAAAGGGCTAGCCGATTTTCATGAAGTGTAGAACTCTCTTAAGTTATTCTAAGTGTTTTGATGATTGTGAACCATTTGAGGTGTCACACTTGGGGCACTAGGCACTCAAGCTTCATGAAGACAAGCACCATCAAAGAGGTATGTATTCTATCTTGTTATATTGATAGTTTTGTATGCTAGATTAGGATAATACCTTGGATGTTCATATTTGCATGTATAATAGAGAAAACATAGATCCAAGGTATTTAGGGTTGAATGTACACTTAGGAGTGTTAGAATGCTCATAACCCAACAAGAACAAAATAGAATATAAAAACTAAATGAACTGAGAATGAATATCCTCCACTTACTCACCCTTTAATAGCCCAATCATAAAGGATTGAAGATTCGAGTATAAACCCATTAGATATCTTCTTCATTTTCATCTTGCATCCTTCACCATTCAATAACTTAACCTTTAAAACCTTAAAAAAGAACACCACGAATGTATCCAAAATAGAATAAATAAAAAATGTTAGTTTGACTTTATTTTTTTAGAAAATAATTATTTATTTCAACAAAGATATTGCATAATTGTTGTGAATTGATATGACAATGCTTGATCTCCGGTGACTGACTATGTTCTATATAATCCGACAACAACGAAGTTTATAATTTCATAACAAATGTGTTTAGTATTCAATGAATCATTGATTTCATATTTTAAATCCTTGTTTTGCCTACATTTCATATGTTAACTCAGAAGAAGACAAAAAAACGCTTGTTTTATAAGCTCTGTGCATACTAACCGACTAATTTCTAAAATCATATGACAATAACACAAATTATAGGGAAAATGACTCTTAAGGGTAACTAACTATTGTGTTTGTTCTCATTTGGTCCATTTCCTTTTTTGTACTCAATATACCATCGAACTTAATTTTTGTTTTCAAAATTACCCTTTTGACCAACTTTTGACATTTGATAGCCGATCAAAGGGGTATGGTGAACACAAACAACAAGTTTGATGGTATATTGAGTATAAAAAAAGGAAAGAGATCAAATGAGAGCAAACTCAACAGTTGGTTACCCTCTTAAGTCATTTTCCCCGACAAGTTAAATGAAATTAAAGTTGCAAAATTATCAAAGACTGCAACCTTCTTTGACCATAACGTATATTAAGAGCGTTTCGGAGGGGTAACTTCGTTAAAACATGGTCTATGCTATGCTTACTATGGTTAACTGTGAACACCTCTCTGTAAAAGGATATAACTATGTGTAAGAGGTATATTTATCAGCATAAACGTTTACCTCAAGGTATATTATGGTGATGTGTCTGCAAAAGCTACATGATATTCTGCATATTGATGTTGTATCGTATCCCATGAATTCGATCTTAAAGCTAAGTAAACTCATAAATCACAACACTTGTCATTCCACTCATTTGTAGACTTGTCTAGAATCAGTGATACGATAAATCATTTGATTGGAAATGTAAATGTAGTCATGAAATGCACCTGCTTAGTCAAGATTCCCCTAATAAATATTCAAGTGCATTACAAGTTGTACATGTATGAATAATGTTCTTTCATGGGTTATGTTTTAAAGAGAAACAAGAATGAATCTCATAAAGTCATTAATATCAGCAGGAGATGACGTGAGATTTGTGGTGAATGAGTAAAGGGAAAATGAATCAGGAGGGTAACCAACTGTAACATTTGTTCTCATTTGGTCACTTTTTTACTCAATATACCATCACACTTGTTGTTTGTGTTCACCATAACCCTCACTACTAGAAAAAAGGCCTTTTACGATGCTCATTGCGCGTCGTAAAACGCTCAAACGACGCGCAAATGCGTGTCAAGGAAGGCCCTGTCATAAAGAGAGACGACGCGCGGTTATGACACGCAATGCGTATCAAGGAAGGCCCTGTCATAAAGATAGACGACACGCATTTGCGTGTCGTAACCTTATGACGCGCGTGTTTATGACACGCAATGCATATCAAGGAAACCCCTGTCAAGAAAGGCCATGTCATAAATGAAGATGACACACATTTTTGCGTATCATAATTTTAAATGTTTAAAAAAATATTATTTATAGATTTGCTTATTTTCAAATTAAATTTATATTTAATGTTTAATAATAGATAATAAAATATTATATACAAAAATAGAATCCATTGCATAAATTTAATGTCATACAAATAATCGTTCCATATGTAAACAAATATATACCAAAAACGTCATGTCAAAAATTGTAATACATTTATATTAAGGGGATCTAATTGTACATTGTTATTAAGAGGTTTTCCCTAAATATATAACATAATACTAAATTACTATTAAGGGACACCTTATGCAATGTAATGCTATACAAAGTAAAAAGATATACACAAAGATGATAAACATCAAATTCCAACTAAGTAGAGTTGAATCTTGCCTTTCATACTTCTTTAAGACTAATATTGAACCCCTGCTTCGATAATTCTTGTGACCTGATCAAATAAAAGTCAAAAAATTAATATGTTAATACAATTATTAGAAGAATCAAACTTGGAATGTTAGTTGTAAAAGACGAAATTACCCTTTTCTCCATCCAAAGAATTTGGGATTTGGAATAAATACACTACAATATGAATTACCTAATATCAACAATGACAAACACAATGACAAGAATTCCCGCATACAAATGGTAAATATTATCTGTAAAGCTATCAACAATGATATTCACAATGACAATCTTTGATCATATAAACTAGAGAGTATATCATCACAATTCCATCTAACACCACCCATTAGAACACGTAAAGCTACTCAACCAACATATCATGTCATGTAATGTATTTTTTGTCAGTATATCTTCACATAGAAAACAAAAGTGAAATAAATAAAAATAACAACCTTCTCATTTACTGAAAATGGATATTGTTCACATATATGGGAGCCATTTTCAGAATTACCATCCCCATTTACCTGAAATCATTCATGCCATTTTAACTCAAATAATTTATTTATAGTAAAAAAATAAATATTTATAATTATAGTGTTTTGATTATATAATATATACCCATCTGTCACTGACTCCTCATTCGTCATAAGAATGAACAAATATTTTAATTAATTACCTTGAAATGATAATAATATAAATACTATAACACCATGGCATGGTATATTTGAATAATACCTAGTGTAGCATCCAAGATAAGACGTTGACTTGTTGCTTGAGCAGATTTTGCAGTGTATGCTTTAAGGGCATCATCCCACCGTTGCAGCTTTTCATACCTTGTATTTGGAAGCAACATAAACAATTAATATTTTGAGAAAATAAGACAATGTAAATGATTCAGGGTCCTGGAAATATACCATGATTCCTTCAGTTGTAAATCCAAACAGCATCCCATATATAGTTATATACTTAAGAGAGTGAAAAAAGGAAAGTGAGCTAGTTTCTATATATGCTTACCCTCCAAAAAGATAGAAGTGAAAGTATCCAAAAGAAAGCACTTATCCACCTTGATTCCTTATATGCAATCCACACCTGATCAAAAGAAGCAATCAAACATTATTGTTATAACAAAAGTCGAAAAATCTCCTTTTCACTATAGTTGGAAAGTATATAATAAACAAAGACTTACTGCTACAATGACAATACAAAATAGAAATCGGTTGTTGTTGCTATCATGCACCTGTGAGCATTTACAACTATGTATGAGCATTTACTATTACACTTTTTTACATAAATTAAATAAAAGGGAAATTTTAAATGGTACCTTGATAATACATTGCATTGAATGTAGATCCATCAACGATAAGCACATAAATAAAAGTTCCCAGCATCAAGTAGCCTAGTGCAGAAATGATTATTTTTGCAATTAAAACAAAATGTCCCCTTTGTATCCCATGGCATCCCTATATAAGCCAAATATATAATAAAATTACAATCATTTTAGCAAACATTTTTACTTGATTTTAGTTTTTGTTATCGTTATTGGACATGTCCCTCAAAAGATATAATGGATCCTTTGATGATTCTTCTGGTGACAACTTAAAGAACTGCAGAGCCACATATCATTTGTAATAGGGCTGTAGAAGGAATGAAAATTTACTTAAAACATGTTACACTTGTAATTAATAGTAATAATAATAATAATAAAGTTTAATTACCTTCCTGCAAAAAGTACAACAGGTATCAATACAGCTGCCTTGATCCAGCATGATTCCTTGTAGACTATCCAAGCCTAAGATTGCAAGTATATACACAACCACATATAACTCCATTTGATTCAACAAGCTTGTAACACCATGGTCAAGATCAGTTCCAAAATCCCCACTAAACACGCCACCTGAATAGAACTGGAAACCCATGCCACTGGCATCAATGGCAACTGATACGGGTTGATTAGCGACTGCATGTAACAATGCGGATTCACTGTTGGCTGGCACTTTTTCATACCCAGTAATGGTGGCAGCATGGACAACTTCTTCCTTGGTGTTGCAGGTTCCATCTGTTGCCTGATATGGGTAAGCCACCTCAGTGTTGATGCCTTTGTTTTTAACGATAAACTCAAAGCCATCTTCCATCTCGCCACCATCACATCCTCCGTTTTGTTTTTGGGGGGTTTTGATTGGTGTTTGTTCCTTTAGGGTTCCGTTTTCAGAATGGTTTCCTGTAATCAAAGATTTTGATATTAGTATGGAATTGAGTTCCAAATATTCAAATTGCAGTAAAAGAAATGATCTTACTGTTATCGTTTTCCGTAGAGCGACCATTTAAAGGAGGGGAAGAAGCAAACCCAGTGTAATCACCTGAATTCAAATAAAAAAAACGAGATAAAAAATGATTATTTTTATTTTTAAGGTAGTAGCAGAAAATTAGTTTACCGTTTGTTTGTGCTGGAGAAGATGCGTTTTTTCATTTTTCAGCAGATGATTTGCCAGGCCATTGTTTAAGAGGGCGAATAACCAGAGCTCTTGGATTCTCCCTTGGAATAAAAAGAGCATCTGCTTTTGGTGTGCTGTTAGTCTCTTCATCATCACTAAATAACGAAACCTGTAATTGTAAAAAAAATAAATCAGATCCATAAAAAACAATAAGAGCAAAATAGTCAATATAACAACAGATATTACCTTTGGCCCATCGTTTTTCGGGTGATACTTTCTAGCACCCCACGAATTTTTTACCAACCAGTACTTCATGCCAAAGCTGTGTATATCACCACAGATAACAACATACCTCCTATTTGGGTTGTGCTTCAAGCTCTGTGGAAAAATAGAAAAGTCAAATTCCATATGGTTGACTATTTTCAGTTTAAAGGAAGGTAGGAACAAGCATAACTCACTTGTGGATAAAGATCACATGTTCCCAGTTCTTTAACTGCTAAAGGCAGCCTCTCTCCATCAGAAACCTGAATAAAAAATAGATTTTTTTCCCATTTCATTGTTAACATAACATAACATGTATATGGGCTTTAAAGTCCAAACCTCATGATCAGCTCCCACACTCTTGATGTTAATAGTTTGAATTTCATTATGTTTAGCCCATATAATTTTTCCACTATTGCCCCTGCTGGCTACAGGCTCTTCACGTTCAATTTTCACCATTATGGTTCCTTCATCATAGCCAATAACAATCCTGTAAAAACAGTAATTAAAATAAATCCAGATGAATGAAGAAGCATCAAGATTCAAGACCCACAAAACAAAAAACAAAAAGTGCTATACAAACTTACCGACGTGAACCTTTCATGTATCCAACATCCCAAACCCTTTCAAGTCCATAGTTCAAGGTGTTCTCAAGTCTGAATAAAAAAAAGAGTGGCATAAAGTCAAAAAGTTTACATTTTTAACATATGTATAACGAGGGTATTTTGGTCTTTTGATAGGAAATGAAGAAAGAAATTGAATTCCTTCCATCCATCAAACATGGAATTTGAAGGAATCCAACAAAAATTGAATTCCATCCATTTGGAAACCAAACACACCATGGAATGGAATCTAGCATTCCGATTCTTTTAGAATCTACAAAACAAACACACCCTTAAAGGTAAAAAAACAAGAGCTCACTTGTAAGTGGTTGAATGCCATATATGGACAGTACCATCTTCTGAACCTGTCATTATTATTGGAAGCTCGGGATGGAAACATACAATAGAAACATTGTGTGTGTGACCTTCTAGAGTTTGGACACAGGTTTTAGTTAGCAACTCTACAATAACAGATCACAGTTGTGACCGTATTGCTGTATTCTCATATTGAGATAGTAAAGGGAATCAAATCAGTTTAGAAATTGTAAGTAAATGAGATTCAATTCCTATTACATAAATTAAATTCCAACTCCTAAACACTGAATTGATTTTTTTATCATTATCAAAAAACAATTGGGTGATTACTACTCATGTGTATGTATAATAATAGTAAATTGAATCTAATAGGAATACATAAATTTTTATTTACCTGTGAGGTTGTCACTGTGGCAGGTTGCTTTGAACCTTGTTCATTAATCTTTGGACAATCCCCTTTTGGTTCAAACATTTAGTCAAACACCTAGTGTGCATAAAAAAATCAGGTACTTATATCATAAAATATTAACAATTCCATGAAACTATATGAGAGAGGGTAAAAAGGCACAAAAAATCATCCAAAAAGAAGGACCAGTAGGACATGAAACAGGTAACTATGGTTGAAAAAGGAAGAATTACCTTTGAAATAGGCCTACTACGTAGATGAAATAGGAAACAATGGTGGTATAGTGGTGGTTCTGGGCTGTTGCGAAGGCAGTGTGGTGGTGGCTCAGGGCTGGGGTTGTGGTGCGATGTTGTAACGGTGCAGTCTGAAAGCAAACACAAATTGTGATGGAAGCTATTGTTGTTGGTGATGTCCGATTCATCAAAAGAAAATCATTCTTCGATCAATCTTCTATTTTGTGAAAGAAGATATTACTATTTCAAATGTGTTATGTTTGATTAGGGTTTGCACATAGAAGGAAGTGAAAGTCGATCGGAGAGGAAGGGGTTTGCAGAGAGAAAGAAGGGAGAGAATGAAGTCGATTTTGGCGGGTGTAGAGAGTAGAGAGGAAGAGGAAGCGGGTGTTCAAAATTTTGGGGGATTTAGTTTCCCCCCTTACCTATCAAGGACTCCTAGAAACGCGCATTTATTAAAATTATAAAGCGACATTTGTAGAGGACGCCCGTTTTATTATAGGTGCCCTCCGTGTTTTTAATATTTTTACATGAGACACTAATTTAAGGGCACTTAGTAATGCGCGACCTAAATCCTTAGTAATTTTGAAGAGATGACACTTTTTTAATGTCGCTCTCTAATGCGTAACATAAATCAAAGAGCGTCGTGTTTTGCACGTCGTAAAAGGCCTTTTTTCTAGTAGTGCCTTTGACTTACTAGCACAGGCGATGAGCCGATCAAAAGGGTTATGGTGAACACAAACAATAAGTTCGATGGTATATTGAGTACAAAAAAAGAAAAGGGACCAAATGAAAACAAACACAATAGTTAGTTACCCTTAAGAGTCATTTTCCCCAAATCTCTAAATATAATTTGAAGAGAAACTGAAATTCTAATATTAAGAAATTAGGACCATTCATTACATTTCAATCCTTAATTTTTCACCCTTAGATTGATTGTTGACATCATCCAAGGTTAATCAATCACGGTTACATGATTCTCTCTTCTTTCCTTCGTCATCTCTCTCTCTCTCTCTCTCTCAATTGTAACCTAAAGAAACATGAAAATCATTCCTTTTTACTTCAATCGTGCCAGAAAACATATCCATAATTCGCATCGCCTCTTCAAACACTTCCAGGAATACGGTTAGTTTGTCTTCATTTTACTCCCAAATTCAAAATTTCTTATCTTCCAATAGTGCATATGTGTAATCGATTTCTGTTCTTCATTGTTTTGTTTTTCCTTTTTTTTTTGACAGATCATTTTCAATATTAATTTCATTGTTAGAATTCTTCATCCGATAAGGTTTTTGTTTTTAGAATCAAAAGGAAGAGACCATATCATAGATTCCATTCAATATCCTTATTCCTTACTACCAAGTTGTTTTTAATTTGTAATTAAACTTGATTAGTAGCTGAGAATTCACATCTCTGGTAATTTATTTGATCCACAATCATCGATCAATTTTGTGATTTATGGATTCCGTCTAGTCCTATGCTCTCTGCTATAGTGCTATTCCTTCAAAATTTTGACCGTCTTCTTGGTCAAATCAGTGGTCAAGTTCATTAGATTTAAGATCGTGTAGTTCTGTGAAAGCCTATAGCTTAACATCAACGCCATCAACTCCTCCATCGTTCTTATTTTCTTCTTCATATAATGAACATTTAGGTGTTGTTGATCTTGCACTACTAAGCCGATTGTCTTTTCATATTACTGAATTTCTTTTAGGATTGCTCTTTTCTCAATATAATCTCAAAACACTTTTATTGCTTTTCATTTGATGGTAATGTTGGATTAGTGTCTAAGCTCGTAACTATATTTGGTATATAATTGGCCCGGTTGTGCATGGTCTTTTTGGGTTACCTTCACCAAAACAACTGGATATGATGATTTATGGAGAGAGAGAGAGAGAGAGAGAGAGAAAGAGAGAGAGAGAGAGAGAGAGAGAGAAGAAAGAGAGAGAGAGAGAGAGAGAGAGAGAGAGAGAGAGAGAGAAAGAGATGTTATTATGGTTTATTGATATATTATATGAATAATATATCAAAGGAGAAATCATATAGTTTAATTAATATTAGTCAATAATTAATTAAGCAGGAATTTTGTGGCTGAAGAGATTAATTAAACAAAGGGGACTGGAACTGTCAATTGTGTGATAGTTGGTTTTGGACTGTGAATCCTCCTGGGATTAAGGGGGGAAAAATTTGGAGTGCAAGCCCACTCTAATTTCGTCCAAGGAGGCCTTTTTCAAGAAGGTTCTCAAGCTTCTTAGGGCCTAATTCATTCAATTAAGGTTTTGACTGAAACCCTAGCAGCTCCGCTATATAAGGGACCCCAGGGATTCAGTTTTGGCTACCCCAAGAAACCCTAAGGTTACTATAGCTGAAATTGTGCCTCTCTTCTCCACTCTCCTAGATCATCTTCTTGTTTGTGGTGTTTGTAAGCCATTATAGGTGTTACACTTGTGACACTAAGCTTCTTGAAGATCAAAGATTCTTGCAACTACTGCAAGTTATCATCTAAACTTGTTTTATTCTAGATTTCGTTTTAATAGTATGCTAGATTATGGTTTCAAGTCTTGGATGAATTGCATGTACAATAGAGAAACCTAGATTTAAGCTACAGGGTTTTTGCATGTGCACATAGGAATGTTCTTTTGTGTAAAACCCATCAGTGGTATCAGCACTTTGATTAATTTCTACTGTATTTGATGCCTTGTATGTTCATCTTGCTAGAAAAATTGGTTTTTGGGTTCTCTTCCGACCTTACTCGGCGAGTCACTTTCTGGACCCGGCGAGTCCAGTCAGTGGCTAGGCGAGTCCGGGATTCTGACAGAGAGAATTTCGGGATTTTATGCCTATTTTGCTATAGGATAATTACATAATCATTTTTAATTGATAAAATATGAATTTTATTGATATTGTGTGATTATCCTTGCCAAAATAAAAGATAATTTCAAATTAATTGAATAATTATTGCCTTATATGATAAAATTTGATTATTTGAATTATTTGATCAATTATCTTGCATGAAATTGGATTTGGTCAAAATTACATAATCACCAAAAATTAGTTGTTAATTGTTTATTTGAATTTTAAGATAGATAGTTTTGAAATGTTTCAAAACTTTCCCTCAAGTTTTGGAATTTAAAATTTTGAATTCAAAGTTTAATTTTTGAAATAGTTAAATTCCAAACACTAAAATTTTACAAGTTTAAAATTCGCCTTATACTATGATAATATTATAAGAATAATTATTATATATGTATAAGATAAATGCTAGTCTTACCATTAGTAGGCCTCATTCACGAAGCCGACCTATAAGGGGGTATAAGGTTATGGCCTATAAAATGGTCGTTTAATGGGTATCCACTCTCACCCACGGCTTCCTTGATTGGTGGAGGGTCGTTAGTCGAACGGGTATGATAGGGCAACTCATTCCTCATTAAAAGTATAATGATTAATAAAGTAACTAAATTCTTTCATAAAATTCCCAATCTTAGTTACTTTAGAAAAAAATGTGAATTTGATGTTATTCCATAGAATTACACTTTGTACCCTTGCTAAGACGTTAGTGGAGCGTGTGTGGTTAACCAGCACACTAATTTGGCTCTAAGCATAGGTGGAAAAGGGTGACTCATTGTTTGTCATAGATCAATGGAGCGTATGTGGCTAACCGGCACATTGATTAGGTGACTGTAACATCGAGGTCAACAAGTACATTCTCATGGTTATTCACACCTTGTTTATGATCCTCGGTATCCCTATCACAAACTTGAAGGGCATATCGAGATTTAAACATGCCATTGAAAAGTTCAATGAATCTCAAAATATCTAGGATTTTTAAATACATTTAAAACTTAATCGTTTCTGTTTTCATGGTGGAAATTAGTGAATCATGATTCACTTACCTTCAAATTATTTGTTGTTTAGATTACGACATCCTTATTCTAAATTGCAAATAATGTTGTTGGATCCTAGCCCTAATTTCTCATTCGGGTAGTTAATTGGGGATTCTTATCTAATCAACTTTGACTCTTTTCTTTTTCAAATGTTGAATTCGAACAACAACAACGCTTCGGGCTCAAACTCTTCCGGCTCATTCTCACTCATGAACTTGTGTGGGAGGGTGATCTTCGAAGGAAAGAATTTCAATGATTGGATCCACAACTTTAGGATGGTCACCCGCTACGAGGACAATGAGTATGTCCTCGAAAAGGAGATAAAAGAGGTGGATATGAACACTGCTACTCCCAAATAGATTGTTGCCTTTGAGGCCCATGAGTGTGATGCCACGAAAGTCCATTGCATCATGCTATCAACCATGACTGCTGAACTCCAAAAGTCCTATGAGGATTTCTATCCTTATGAAATGCATTAGGATTTACTTGACATGTACCACCAGATTTCCAGGCAGGAGAGGTACGAGTTCATCACTTCGATGATCACGACCAGGATGAGGGGCGGAGAGTTTGTCACTGCTCATATGTAGAAGATGCAAACGTATGTTGACCGCCTGTAAAATTTAAACGTTAACTTCGACGAGAAGCTGTCGATTGATATCATTCTTCACTCCTTGCCTCCTTGCTACAACCAGTTCCGCATGACCTATCACATGAATAAGGAGGAGGTCACGTTGAGCAAGCTTCAAGGGCTGTTGAGGAGTGATGAGAGCAACCTCAAAGACAAATCTGTTGCACAAACTCCTACTCCTACTGTTGCCCCAGTCTTGGCTATTAGGAAAGGGAAGGGTAAGAAGAGGAAGGCTCCCTCAAAGAGCCACCATAAGGGAAAGTCCTATGATGGTACCTCTTCTAGTAGAACCAAGGTTGGTCTTGCTGTACCCACCTCAAGCCCAAAGGATGTTGAGTGCTATCACTGCCACGACATAGGGCATTAGAAATGAAGCTACATGAAGTATTTGCAAAGATATCAAGGATGGTAATATCAAGCCGTCCTTCGCAAGTATTTACGATATTCAATCTAAGGATTCATCACATGCTATTTATTGGGTACTTGATACTGGATGTGGTTTTCACATTTGTTCTTATTTGTAGGGCCTAAGAAGAAATAGGGATGTAAAGCATGGGAAGATAAACTTTATCATGGCAAACAAAAGATCGTCGCATATCACCTAGATTGGAGTTTACTCTTTGGTGTTTAGTAATGGATTAGGACTAGATTTGAATATGTAACAACCATAAATTCAAGC